CGTCGGTGTTTTATTGAATATTGTCAACATTGATTATGATTAACCTGTTTACCCATGGGGCACGACCACGCATTACTTTTAATAACCTGTCCCATTGGTTTACGTCGCTATGGCGGTACGCCCTCTGTCGGACGTACTGTGAAATCAAGATTGGCCGTTCTATCGAGTTGCTTTCATATTGGTAGTTCTGAATCCATGAACACCATATTAACATTCGCGTTCCCGGTGTCTTGGGAAAAGGGAATAATTTTTAGTTCTTTTTGCCTGGTCAAATGGGTTACTTTTTCCTGAAATTTTCCTAGATACGGGTCAACTTTCTCAGCAAAAATGTTTAGAAAGTCAGATCTCGTAAAACTTGTTCAAGTAGTAGGTTTGTAGGGGTCAAATTTGAACAAAAATGCATAGCAATAACGCCATTTTTATCCCCCAAAAGCTTCGATCATTTCGAAAATGACATCATTTTTCTCCAATATCCAAAATACGCTTTTTGGTTATTTTTCGGATCAAAATTTCTTCAGAACAGCCTGAGGGTCGATATTTTGAGTTCGGGCAGCAAACCATCATAATGTTTCATGCCCCCGGGGCTGATACAACGCGTCCGTCTGTTTTTCCATTAATCAAGCAAACTGAAACAGCGCGACAAATATTACGTTTACGTGATTGATTATGCACGTCGTAAATTGGTAACAAATTTCCACTTTTCATTCATCCTTACGGACAAAACATGTATCAGTTCTGTTGACAATTCCCAATCATACTACCCACATATCAAAGCACAATCAGTCACAGTTTCCATCGTTACGTTTATTTTTACTTTTTTTTTAAAAGAGAAAGTTTATGACCCATTTTGATTTTCACGGAGAATGTCAATACATATTTTCTGATGGGAGAGAGTCGTTAAATCGGGAGAGAAATATAAAATTTGCTGGCAATAAGGACATAAATCGAAAACCGTTAAAGTGATGCTGGTAGGGTCTAGTCATGTTTATTATTATTAAAAACTAAAACGGGGTATAAAATATGGCAATCCAATTATCTTCAGTGGCAGTCAAAATGAGTAGTTAGTCGAGGTAATTATGAACCAGAAAATGAATGTATAAGTATAATAATATACTGTCCGTGAATACTGGGTTCCATTTATCGCTACCTGCATCTAAAAGCTTATTGCCATGAAATTTGAAGTAATTTTTCTCACCATATTTTACTTTTTAAAAATCACGTCCTAATTATACAGTTTTCTGATTAATATGTATTGTAATTACGTACGAAACCTAACTGGCGTATAGATATAATTTGACGAAAACTGAATCGTAGGGGTGATGCGGTGTACGCATGTTACCTTGGTAGGCGCAGTATATTTAACGATTTATTTTGCTAAAAAAAATATGTTAACGTCACATATGCCTAATATGCAAAATCGCTTATTGAGTAATATGCGAAATCACCTCATATGTTTTTATGTTGTTTTTATTGTGCGCAATCCCTGACTTCGTGGTATCATGTCGTATCACCAAACTAGAGTACGGTTGCGGTGCCCTACCCGCCGCAGTACTCAACTCATAGCCCGATTATCGTTTGATAATGCCGAACCAGTTGGAAATTAACATGACGCAATAGATTTGAGACATTGTCTTCTTTTCCAATCACGAACTGAATTGATCCGACCTGTTTGAAAACTATATACACCTATGTTTTCATTCAGTAAATTAATGATGCCATGTCTTAAATCAACATTATTGTTCAGTGTATATTTCATTAAAAAAACGTTTCCCCTTTAACGTGAATATACCGCGCGAACTCATTGTCGCACTTATTTACACCCTTATCACCCCAGATAATAATCGATGTACAGTAATGAGCCCCGGAATGAGCCATACACGTATAGGGGTCAGTCATTCTGTTTTTTTGAAAATGTGGCACGTGTTCGAATAATACGTCAATGATTACTATACAGCGGTACAGTTCACATGGGTGTCACCATGACAACGCCGATAGAGCAGAATAATACAATGTGAACGCAGAAACGCCACACATTTATTTCTAACGATTTTTCTGAGCTCTACTGATTTGTGAAAATCGTAACGAATTATTTTAGCACGTTGCCTCTAAAAACGTTCCGACGGTCGTGATGGGGATTTTTAATTGTTCATCTTAGGGGACTTTAACGAGTAATACAATAATGGCGGTATGAATAATACACCATGACACCAAGGTTGGGTTTAAACTTGAATACAAACGAAATTTAGTATTGATTGTCATGTCATTGTGCATATGTGTAATGCACTATGGAAGATACATTTCCATTCAATATAATGGAAAAATATTATCATTTTTATTTATTTTTTACAATTGTAATTCATATATGAATGCCAATATGATATTTGATAATATGCATTTTTTCTCTTGTTTATTGAAGGACCCAATTTTTTTTATCAATTGTATGTGTCCTTAATAGCATAACCCAATATTAACGAATGTCAGGTTACATTGTAAATACTCCCTGTTTCGGTTCGAAACATCTCGGCTAGGTTATTTCGGACAATACATGTTACACATTCTCAAAAGCCAAGTGTTACCCGCTTCATACTTCACATGAAATGAAATGAACAGGTAAGTGATATATAATGGAAGTCTTCGAAAACACTCCACTAAATGTATTGGTTTATCCCTTAATAAAACATTATTGTTATATGTTGATATATGAGGACAATAGAGTTAAAATCGATAACTACAAGCGGTTTCGCGATATTATTCCGAATTTTAACAGTAATAGGCAGTATACTATCGATATCAAACTATTGAATTAATGCCACGTAGGGTGGAAAAATTGTTCACGTGTTGTTAGTTGTTTTTCTGTCTCGCCCAAACAAAAGACAAAAATGTGATTTGCAAACTCGGTTGTCGCAAGAGGACGCTATTCATATAAATTACAAACGATGAAGAGCCGTCACAAAAGTAAGGTGGTGATCTACATTAAAGCGGGGGGTTCGTCACCTGCGCACGCGCGGGAATTGAGTTCCAAGCGACGATAACAACACACGCTAAAAATGCAAAGGTTCATTGGTAGACGATTGTTTGTAAACACGCTATGTCCATCTGGCACATGCGCAGATCACGACTCACCCGCTTTAATCAACTCGTTTTCTCAAACGAAGATTTGTTTTGACGCCATATTGTTTAAGGGACATAAGCGCAATAAAGGCATTCCATTATTTTTTATTAATATTTATAAATCGCACAATTCAAACGGGAACAGGCGATTTGTGGCCGATTTAATAACACTGGCCAGGAGCGCTTTCAAACGACGTCGTTGCTCACCGTGCTCGTTGATTGGCTAGTTGGATTCAACTGTCATTGGGAAGCTGAGAATTGCTGAGAATACAGGATATATGATGCTCAGATGCGCCTCCAAAGTCATGAGTACAAGATTTAGAAGCCTGGTTTATCCGGCCACTCTGACAATTTGTATATGAATTGCGTTTAAATGAACCACACAGTGCTTAGCTTGTACTTCGTGTAGCGTGAACTGTAAAATTGTTACTTTTAATATTTTACTATTAATGTTTACATCTAAGCAAAAAAAGCGTTCCCCACCCACTTGTGTTTTTGCATGCGTCACCGATGCGTGTTTTATATCGTATTTTGATTTGACAAACAATTGCAGAAGATTTCATTATACAGAGATGCCTATTCTTATTTTTACTATGTTTTTTCTTTATTATTTCTCTTTTCATGGAAATTGCTATTTCTGTGTCGCTGCTATCTTGACGTTAGGTTTCCACGTTTCCCTTATATAGTAATCATGGACAGCGCCCTTGTTCATCCGTACTAAAATCCTTTTGTTTTTCAAATTTGACCTGCCGAGGTCACGCCCGGTCGCCATTTTCAAAACAATATCCTCGTACAAAATGCGTATTTTCTATCAACAATTATTACACTTTCTATACATTCTATAAATTTGTATTCGATGGAATTACATATTTATAAATTTATATTTATTATGAGTATATGAAAGCAAATAATTTTACAGACTATCATAAATATTTTTAATAATATTTGTTATTGCAGAACGAGCCGCATAAGGTAACCAATGAAAAAGGATGCATCATGTCATGTGACCAGAGACGGATTTAGAAATTACCTGGGACTACGAACGACGTTTTGGAATACTTGCTTACAAACTGTGTGACACAGTGTCGACAGGTATGTTTATTAATACACAGGCTCCAGAATGTTGTTGCTATCTATATTGCCTCATCGACGATCTGTCATGAGGGCTCGAAATCGCCTTGAAAATGTCGAAACGTGAAATGAATTGAAGGCCTTCAGTTTTTGTGTCCAGGTTGTATTCATTCAAGGGCGAACTATCCGATCAATTTTACAAAGCTCCGCCTTTCTGTTGTTTTGCTTCGCACAACTATGTCCACATTACGATCAATAATGTGATTCACAGTATGAAACGACTTACTGTTCTAGTTTTTCAAATGCTAATTGTTATCCTAGTCTATCAAACACTAACAACCTAACACTGCGACGCCGGTAAATCATTTAAATTTGGACGAGACTTGAATTAATAAATATTGACTTGTCTGGACGACTACTTCTTCATGGAATAATTCATGGTCAATTACAGTCACAACTATCGAGATTTTGTCTTTGAGATTGCTTCGAATGTTGTAAAAGATTGGAACAACTGATTACCTACTTTTTTTCAAAACATTGTCATATGCTCCCCAGACATCACCAATTTCTGGTATTTTTTTTTCAAAATGTCCTAATTTTGTTCAATCATTTAAGTGTTTACCGTTAAATTTTCTCTTTTACATCCCAAAAAATTCAGCAAATAATTAGAAATGTCCCAGACGCTAGTTGCCAATTTGAAGTTGAACAAAATGTCCTGAGCTAATATTAAAAAAAACCCTCAAGACCTCAAGATATTTGTCTACATTCGTATTTACATTATTTCTATTTGTAAAAAAGTTAGTCAGGATTGTACACAGAGTCTACAGGTACTCACAATATTTTGAAGTAAAGTAGGTAATCAGTTGTTTACAACATCCAGCACAACCCTGAATAATAGATAGAGTAACCCCTATTTGAGGACAAGAAGGGGTGCAACTAATTTGTTACAAAAGCACTCAAATATGATATTTCTCTGGATGTTCTTATCGGATTTATTACATAGAAACTCTGATGCAATCACAGAGTGATGTGATAAAAGTAATGCTAATTTTACTTTTACTCACAGGGGTCGAAATACTCTGGTGCACACTGCACTATGCACATAGATTATTAGCTAGTGCAAGTAAACTCAAAATATAATGTGCACGCTGTGCATGTAGAAATTGACACGAAATTTTTTCATTATATTCACTAAGCCTAAATTAAGTTCAACCAACATTGTAAGACAACTAAAAAATCAATCATCAATCGATAAACCATAAATTTTATTTAAACTTTAAAAGTGGTGCATTTCACAACAAGTTAGTGCAGGTAAATTTCAAATTTCAATGCACACTGTGCATGCAGGGAAAAAATTCTATTTCAATCCCTGACTCAACAGCTTGACTCTAAACTGTACTTACAAAACTCTAGTTCATAATTAGTCACAAATCCTACGTAAGGCGAAACAAAATAGTATGGTTCAGACAACCTGACTCTACCTCATGTTGTACACAAGATCCTAAACTGAAACATGAGAAAAAATGAATCACACAAGATTTAACAAATTATTTGGATTGCGAGTGTGCCTGACAATACATGAAGACATTTTTTAAAGCGGGGGAGTCGTCACCTGCAAATGCGTCAGATAGCCATAGCATGTCATTGTTTACAAACAAGCGTCTACCCATGAGCCTTTGCATTTTTAGCATGTGTTGTTATCGTCGCTTGGGACTCAATTCCCACGTATGCACAGGTGACGATCCTTCATTAGCATCATGTCAATGAAATGTTTCTACAGTGTTCTTAAAAAAAATGTTTTCTATTTAATAAATATTTTTTTTTTTTAGAAATCATGGATCTTTCTGAGATTAGCGAGAACACCAAAATGGGACGTGAGTATGCCCTTCTAGGTAACTATGAAACATCACAGGTTTACTACCAGGGAGTGTTACAACAAATTCAAAAACTGTTAATGAGTTTGAGAAGTGATGCTGCCAAGAAACAAAAATGGCAACGAGTGAGTATATTTGATGTGATAAATTACATTTTGGGGACCAGGGTTCTCCCCTGGCTTCTGAAGCGCCATGTACCGTGACTCATAAATCACAAATCAGCATACGTCAGGATGATTTATCTTGATTTACCGCGCTGCGGTTATTTGCAGTTTTTACTACTCAATCGACTGGCTATTTCATTATTTCAAACTTTATTTGACTTGATACACACATAAATTACAATGGAGTAAAATGATATAAAATATAAGAATATCTAGTCTTCAATCAATTGTAGACAGGTTGACTATTTTTTTATAATAACAATGTTCTTTGCAAATTAGACAAATTAGATGTATTGTTATGCAAATTAGTCATGATGCTAGACATGCAGTCTGGGGAGAACACTGATGGGAACTATCAATAACCTTACTTTATTGATTCATACTGCTTCAAAGATCTGTCAAGGATCATGTCAGATAACCTGGTCATAAGATGGTCCATGTTTAACATTTTCACCACAGTTCCTCTTTTCATCACATATTTACAATTTACATTTCCCTTTAGAAGTTTGGGACAAAAATAGCCTAATTCTCCAATTTGAAGAATTTAAAAAAAAAAGTGCAGAAAAATTTGGGCGAGAAAGTCTGGTGGTGAAAAGGTTAAACTAAAAAATCTTTATCTTTTCTGTGGTGCTCTTTGGGTATACACCCGCCTCTTTATATATGTTATATATCTAATTTGGAGCCAAGAAGTGCCCTAAAAGCCAACGACCCGGAACCTGATGAGAGTTGTTTACAACAGCTATCCTGGTCTCCATTGTCTGTTGTCCATTATAGATTATGCATGGGCATGTGAGAACTCACAGGTTGACCCTTGAGGCATCACTTGTTGAAAAGTAGAAGCAAAGAAAAGAAAAACCATCATCATCATTTATACTCTGTTCTATCTGTATAGTTTTCTGCATCAATGCGAAGTCCCAGTAATGCAATGCAGAACAATTTAAAACATTACATTCTTGGTTTCTGTGTTCTTCAGGCCAGACAACAGATTGCACAAGAATACGAGTTAGTAAAGCAATACAGTAATACATTGAATGCCTTCAAGACATCGGATAATGTAGAACGCCCTATAAGTAGTGGTATATCAAGACAGCCTGTGGCGCCGCGGAGAGATGATCCTAGTCGAGATCCTGATGTTTGGCCACCTCCAACACCAGTAGAACGCAGGTAAGATCCTATCCCCTTTACTATAACCAGTAACAAATTATATGCATGGATGTATTTTGGCTGGAATTTTTATCTATAAATCTATAATATTATGTGAGTATACTTAGTATAATAATAATAATAATAATAATAATATAAATCTTTGTATTGGATATGACATGGGAAGTTGCTTGTTTGTGGCATTTGTTGAGACATTCTTGTTGTCAGGAATAGTTTCTAAGGAAGAACAGTTTTAAGTTTGCTCCTCTGATAAAAACTCTTCTTTTCTACTGCTGGTGGTATGAATGAATCAATCCATAGACTTTGCTCAACCACTAAGCATTGCTTATTTTGACTGTATTCTGCATTTTTACCTTGCCCGTACCATCAAAGATGGAAGGGAAAGGTATATTAAGGGAAAAATTTTGTCCGGCGTTGTCGTCGTCGTCGTTAATAATTGTTATTGTGTGCATAATAACTTTACTAATTCTATTCCAAACTTTATCAAACTTGGTCACCTTATTCATCAGTATAAATTCTTTCCTGAGTTTGAACAACAGATGTCCTGTATGAAAATATCATGCAAAAATTGAGAAAATCTGATAAAATATTTTGACTGTTTCTACTTGACTGATCACTGGTGACACACATCAAAGGTCACTGATCTCAGTGGAAATATGCATTGTTGTATGTGTTCAATGAAGCAAATGATTTATCTTGTAATAATATCCTTGGTAATGTATCTCAGAATCCCATACTGGGTTTCAAAACCAACTCATGGAGAGATTGCACAGTCTGATACACATTTGCAAACCTACCAATAAATTCTTTACAGAAAACAAGATGTCAGAAAATCAATATAAGCACTCCTATGAACTGGGT